TGAAGGAGAAATGGTTGGTTCATAGCCTTAACTTAATCAGTGGATTAATCCCTGATGGGATTAACTGGATAGTAAATGGAGGCAGGGCAGTTTTGCTGGAGGAAGTGGTTCATTGGAGGTGTGGCTATGGGGTATATATTTTTTATCTGGAGAGTGGAGTCTCTGTTTCTCTGCTTTCTGATGATCATGTAATCCTCTTCTCTGTGATGCACTCTTCCACAATGATGTTCTACCTCACCTCTAGGCCCAAGGAATGGAGACTCCCTTCTATGCACTAAGACCTCTGAAACTGTGAGCCCTCAAACAAACTTTTCCTCCCTAAAATTGTGATGGTTGGGTCTTTTAGTCACAGCATCGAAAAAGCTGACTAAAACAGTAATTATATCTATATCAATTGAAATCAAAGATCTTTCTGAATTTCAAACCATTTCCCCTGAAACTAATCATAATCTGGAGAAAGACTCATCCCAGGGTCAACAACATTTTCCTAATTTTAGTGCCATTTATCTTTGTCTCATCCTGCTAGACTTGGATGAGGATAATACCTTCTAAACACTGAATTCCCAATTTGGGGGGCATGATTTTTAGTCCTGTTGTCACTGAAATCTAACATCTGATCCAAGCTGAACTTGGTTTTCATCTGACAGACAAATAATTGTCATTCTTTCAAAAACTGGTGTAACATAACCCGGGGGTTAGCTGCCATGTGATATTGATGAATTGTAATGACTGTTCTGCTAATGAGAAAAAAAAAATGAATGATTACTTGCATGCTCTGAGATGCATGCGAATAGTGTACACTTAACATTCTTATACATTTTATAGAAATTGAATGTAATCTCACCTACTTTGCTTACTAATAATAATAGCTAAGATACATATAGAGTCCTTACAATGTGTCAGTAAGGTACTCTCTAGCTGGCAACCTGAGCTGGCTTCATAAAAGAAGGTCCGAACTCTGAGAAAACGCTAGGGAGTTTTAACTGACTGGATAATAACTGTAGGCTGGTGGGGTACCAAGGAGGTGGGTCAGGGGATGGCAGGGTGCAACTGCCCTGCAACACCTTCCCCCACCCTCTGCTTTCTGACCCTGCCAGGAGCAGAGCAGCTTTCCTCTGCCAGTCTATTCCCCCACAACGAACTGTCTCTTCTTAGGCCCAGAGGAATGAAATTGGTCATCTATGGACTGAGACCTCTGAATCTATGAGCCCCAAATAAACTTTCCTTCCTCTAAAAAAGAGAGAGAGAGAGAGAGAGAGAGAGAGAGAGAGAGAGAGAGAGAGATATTGAGAGAGAGACAAGACTCTAATTACCTTTAAAACCAGCTCCAGGATGGCTTCTCCTAGTTCCAGCCTCCAGCCACCTAATGTTGAGGTTGCTGAAAAGGCTAGCGAGAGAGAGAGAGAACACGCCAGGGAGTGGACTTTTATTGGAAAACAAAAAATTCTGGGGAAAATTCCATCCAATGAAGATTAAGGGGGGCAGCATCCGAAGGTCAGGGGAGACGATTGGGTCTTGGGGCAGTGGCCAGACATGCCTCTGCACTGCATGGACAAGCCCTTGGACTTGGAGAAGGGTGGGGAAAGCTCTGACACCGCTGTGTCGCTGTGTCTAAGCACCTCTCACTCAGCCAGGGAGGTAACTCAAATCACGTGTGAGGATGGCCTCCCACAGTACTCAGTAAGTGCATGAAGTATACTCTTTAATACTCTTAATAACCCCTATAAGTTGTATACTATAATTGTCCAATTTTCTGGGAAAGCAAAGGAGACACTAATAAGCTAATAAATCTTATAATTTCAACAACCAGGTGCTGACAGAGTTGTCATCCATTTTTAGAAAGTATTACTTTATACAACTATTTATCATTACATAATATTGGTCTATTAAATTGTCTAATCATTCAGGATATTTGTTCAAAATATGCTGCAGAATTACATGGAGAGGGATGGGATACAACAAAAATGAAGGAAGGCATGACATTCATTTCAAAAAACAGACAACTAGATGGACCACAAATATTTAAATAAATGGTCATCCTTATTGGTGACTAGGAAAATAGGTATTATTACCACAATTATTTGTATTTTAATTTTTTGGCAAATATTAAGAAATATGACAACACTAAATGATAAAGAATCTATAGATCTACATGTTCTCTTTTACTTTCTTGTATTATTAAGAATAAGCATCATTGCCTTAAAAAAGATTGTTGAAATGAATTCAGGATTCTTGCTACTTAACTAATCAAGAGAGATAAAAAGACAGGACAAGTGTGAAGTCCATGAATAAACCTAAGTTAAACTTACAGATTATACCTCCTACAAGGTGGGCACAGCACATTGTTGGCAGGTGTTTACTGTAATATTGAAAGGAAATAAGTGGTTTAAGTCAGACATGGAAAGACAGATAAGAAACTGATTGGGAGTAGGGAGAACTAATTGGATTGTGTAAAGAAAGAAAGGGACCAAGGTAGTAACAAAGAAAATGTCTTCCATAACATGAGATATAAAGTTAAAGATTGTGAAGAGAGCCACTAAGAATAGAACAGGAAGGAAGAGCATGAGGAAAAGACTAACAGTAAACTAAGACAAATGGGGGGAGAGAAAGGAAGAGAGAAGGGAAAACATATGGAAATGGTAGGAGACCTTCAGTGATACACAAAATAATAAGAGGTTATGAGGGGCAAGGGGGTGGGGGGAAAAAAGGGGAGAGAATTGAACAACAGCAGAGGAGGTAGAGAGGGATGTTGGGAGGGGAGGGGAGGGGGGATAGTAGGGGATAGGAAAGGTAGCAGAATACAACAGTCACTAATATGCCGTTATGTAAAAATGTGAGTATGTAACAGAAGTGAGTCTGTATTATGTATTTGGGGAGTTCAAAACCCAATTGAGTCGAATGTATGAAAGATGATATGTCTTGAGCTCTGTAATGTTTTGAACAACCAATAAAAAAAAAATGGAAAAAAAAATAAAAATAAAGTTAAAGATTGTGGAAGAAATATGATTTGCACAGACTATACATTTGAATATGCCAGACATAGTGTTTTATCTTCAGTATGTAATGATATAGAGCCCAGAGATAAGAGGTCACATTTTATCTTGATCTCTCCCAACCCCAACCCCATTCCTTCATACAGGATGGAAGCAGGGTCTATGTGAACTGTGCATGTGTACAAAGACTGCTACACTGAAAGGAAGAGACTATCTCTCTGTGTTAATGGGTACATTCAAATTCTGGAGTCAGATTGCCCCGGTTATCAAGTCTGCCATGTATTAGCTGCCTAGAAAAACAAAGACCATTACTACCTAATAGTTTATTATGAGTGTTAAATACAGGTATGTTCATAACATTACAAAGATATACAAATAATCTCTGAATGTTGAAATACAGCTTTAAATACTTCCATGAACTTGTAAATAGGATCTTAATGTTAAACAAAAAAGTAAGACTATTTAATGTAATCATTATTCTGCTTTTGAGGATTAATTTATATTAAGGAAATTTTCCAGTAGCCATAGGATAGAGTATAGCAATTAAAAAAGAATGTTCCTATACTTTACAATTCCTACAATCAATATTAGAGAATTCCCAAGAATGAAAAAAAATAATATGATAAAAATTAATAAAAATAATTATGTAATATAAAAACTTTCACTAAAAATCAACATATGAATCAAATATGTAAAAAATGAAAAAAGCATGAAAGCACATTCAAGATTTAAACCCCTCTAGTGGTCAAAGAAATATATAATATGTCAAAAATGAGTCTTCTTTTTATTATTCAATAGTCAGAAAAACAAATTTCACTATAAAATATTGTGCTTATGTTGGCTAGTAGGTTCTGATATAAATATTCTAATATTATTTTCTTCTTGAAATGTTTTCAGTACTTATCAAAGAATCTAAAACTCTAATACCATATATTGTTTTAGGAGTTAAGATTCAGGAAATAATCAAAGATTACCAGAGCATTTTTATTGGTGCTTTGTAATCATACATAATAATTTTATCCGTTATGTCATATCTGTTACCTGCACATAACATACTTTGATCAATCTTATTTCTCTTTACCTTCCCTTTTCTTCTCTTCAAGCAGAAGCACCTGCAAATATTTGCTCTATTCATCTCTCTTCTATTACTATTATTTTAATTAGTGCATTTTAATTACAAATAAAGTGGAATTCATTGTGGTGTATTTATACCTGGACATACCAAAATTTGGTAGATTCTATCCCCATTACCTCTCTATTCCCTCTTTTCCCACCCTCTCAATCACTGTCCTTTATGGTCTCCCTTCTATATTTGTGAGATTAAATTTCTCAAAATTCTTTCTCTTTCTCTCTAGCTTCCACATAGAAGAGAGCGCATTCAACCTCTGACTTTCTAATTCTGGCTTATTTCCATTCATCTGGCTTAGCTTCCAACCATTTGCTAGCAAATGGTACAATTTCATTCTTTATTATGGCTGAATATAACTCCACTCCACTGTGTGTACATACCACACTTTTTCTATCCATTTGTCTGTTGACAGATATCTAAGCTGGTTCCATAGCTTGGCTATTGTTAATTTTACTGCTATAAACAAGCAAATATCACTGAGGTATGATGATTTTAATATTTTGAATAAATATCAAGGAGTGGGATAGTGGGGTCATACAGTAGCAAAACTGACATTCCTTGGAAGACTAGGAATAAAATAACAAAAGCAATTTTATTAGATCATGTCATATACAACATTATTAAAGTAAGAGAACTCAAATCTACCTAAATGTCTGATAATGGGTGACCAATAATATATATTCACATAATGAATTACTCAGAAACAATTAAATACCACATAGCAGCATATAATTAAGATAAGTGGTCATTTAAAAGTTATAGTTACAAAAATATTTTATTAAATATGAAGGTAAATTTACATATATCACATATTTTACATATTGTGTATTTTTTTATTCCTTTCCTAGTGCTGCCATAAAATATTATTGCAAATTGTATGGATTAAGCCAACAGAAATTTATTCACTCATCATCAAGAGATTAAAAGTTCAAAATAAAGGTTTAGTTGCTTGTTGTGGCTATGAGAAAGAATTCATTTCATGCCTTAGCACTCCTTTGTCCATATTCATATCATTCCAATGCCTGCCTCTGCCTTTACATGGGAAGACTTCATCTCTATACATCTGTATCTTTCTGTTAAATTTCCATCCTGTATGGAAAATGGTCACAGGAATTAGCACCCATACTAATCCAATATGACCTTATTTAATTACAAATAAGCTCACATTTACGAGTGGTAGGTAGACACAAATTCTTGGGAAGTTCTATTCAACCCAGCACAGTATAGTTTATACATGCAAACATAAAGGTATTATGTAAATAAAAATATATCATTAAGTGATAAATGTTAAAGTATTAAATGGGCTTATCTCTGAGAAGTGCAGTTATAAAATATGTGTATGATTTACTTTGATATTTTTCGGTACTATAAATTTTTGTACATTTTTTAAATTTTTAAATATTTTTAAAGTATTTATGTTTTCCTCTGTATCAGTATCATGATATCTCACTATGACCAATTAGAACTTGAACAAATATAAAAACGTAATCTTATTTTCAGATATTAAATAAAGAGTATTACATGACAGTGATCCTTGCTAGAAAGAAAATAAACTACATGAGTTCAGCGATCATTTCAATCAGGTGACTAAAATTTTTTTCATAACTGCAACTCAAGAAAGACCAACCTGGGTCCATCATGGTGATCATGTTGAGTACTTAAGCAAACTGAGCCCTGCTGAAACTTGCAGGATAGAGTACTGGAGGAGGAAAAAAAAAAAAGATACATAGAAAATGGTTTCAGAATTTCAACCAGAGTTCACTATGATCCACTTGAATGTCTTCAAATTGCAAATAAAGGTTTATTCCTTGTTCATTGGCATGGTTTCTGAGAGTTGAAATTGAAGAGAACTCTGTACAAGATATTAAGTAGAAATCCCAGAGCCACACCATCATGCAAGGGTTAAAGTGTACTATAGACGCATCTCTTTAGAAAAATTTTAGAAAACCTAAAAATGATCAAGCTGTTCACAAGTATCTTAACTGTTCACAAGTACCTTAACTGCCAGCCAAATAAATCCCAAGACTCACTAAAGAAGTACAATGAAATCCACGCATATTCAATATACTATTACAGTGAGAAGCATCAAGCAAGATCAAGTGTGGACAAAGGAAGAAAGACAACTTGGTGGAAAAAATGTGACTAAAGGATTAATAAATTTCTTCTAAAAATAAATAAACAACAGCTCAAAGACTTAAGATAAAATTGGAAAACCTAAAGCTATAAAACAAGATAAACAGAAGTTATAGAAATAAGGTAATATCTGAAATAAAATTTCATGTCATGATCTTTGTACAATATTGTACTCTTTATCAAAGCATTATTAATCCTATAGAAATAGCAACAAAAATATAATTTGAAGAATGAGTTTTAAAGGCCTCAAAAAATCAGTAGAGACCCAAAATATTTCACCACTAAACTACTCCTTAATACAGGTCCCCCAAAGTGACAGGTGTATAAAGATATACATGTGATAAAATGACTGATTCTTTTTTTGGGGAGGGAGTGGGAGTACTGAGGATTTAACTGAGGGGCACTTGACCACTGAGCCATTCCCCCAGCCTTATTTTGTATTTTATTTGAGTTGCTTAGAGCCTCTGCATTGCTGAGGCTGGCTTTGAACTCCTGATCTTCCTTGTCCCAGCCGCCCAAGCCACTGGGATTACAGGCCTGTGCCACCATGCCCACCTAAAATGACTGATTCTTTATTCAACAATTGGTAAAAAATTTTAAAAAACCATGCATCTAGGATATGAAATAAACTTCAAACAAGATAAACACAAAGTCACACCAAGGGCTAGAATAGTAAATTAAGCAAAAAGCACTGAGAAAGAGAAAAAAAAATGTGAAAGTACCAATGACGAGTCATATTGTTTATGGATTTCTCCAGAGAAAAGGAAAGCCAGAAGACAATAAAAGAACTCCTTTAAACAATCAAAAGGAAATAGCATCTATGTTTTCCTGAGAAGAAGTAAAAATAAGGAAAAAAAGGGGCTTTTTTAGACAAAATGAAAGCTCAGATAATATATCACAATTAAAATATTTGACATGCACTCATCAGAGAATATATATGGATATTTTAAAAGTACATATTAAAGATGCCCATAATCATCATTTACAATATATTTAACATTTTAAGTCAGTTGGGAAAATGCAGATAAAATCAAATACTATTCACACTAAAGTAGTGCTAAAATTAAAATAATGAGTAAATGGTGCTCAAAGTGTGGACCATTTGAACTTGCAGAGTATGGAATGCTATAAGCGCTTTAGAAAACAGTTGATAGCTCTTTACAAACATTTATGAATGTATTACGCAGAAATTCTACCTCTCATATTCACCTCAAAAATGTAAAAGTGTATATTTATAAAATACATTTAAATTAATACTCACAGAAATTTTATTTATGGTGAAAACTGGAGGAAAATCAAATGCCTCCCAAAGGTGAATACATAAACAGATAGTGGCTTATTTATGCAATAGATCAATGATAAACAAATAAATAAAATATACTATCAATACAAATAATGCTCATGCAAAGAGTATATACCATATGATTGCATATATATGAAGTTCTAAAATATATTTAAAAACATACATAGTGACAAACCTTGTATGACTAGTTCCATTGAACTGTGGTAGCAATATCGTGATGGTATTTCAGCAGACTGGAGGCTTCCTGGCAGAAAGTGGTAAAGATTCACTGGCCATGAAAAATCAGATAAAATTAAGAAATAATGAAAATTTTCTGAATATTGAATGAAGTGATCAATAGCATTGCAGTCTAAAGTCATCGTGTTCTGTGCATTTAATATTTACATATGCACATTACATATAAATTATACTTTGATAAAGTTAAATTTTAAAAGATATGTATGCCTCTTAATACTCTATGTGTTTTAAAGAAATAATAGTAGACATGGCGATAGAGTTCTGAATAGAGATCTTCAGTTTGTGCTCAATCATGAAGTTGAATTAAGTGTATGTATTAGATATTTTTCAGGTTAGTAAATCAAGGTAAAATAATATGATGGAATATTTACAACTGTTAAATTATATATGCTAATTGTATTTAATGACATTAAATATCTTTTAAATGATCAGTATTTAAAGATAAGGACAGGATTTTAACAATGTAACAAATCTCTATGCATGAGAAAGAGTACAAAAATAAAAAAAGTCTAGTGCTCAAAATTGTTTCTTTACAATGAATATTTATAGATTTTGTATTTTGAGCATTATTTATTCTTACTACATCTAACTTATTTAAGTAGAAGATTGAAAAGTGAAACAAATTGCTTGGTTTAGTGTTAACAATGATTAGCAGTGTTGTTATATTAACCAACATCAAGTTGGTCCACACCTATGAATTAAATTATATTTCATTCTTCAAAAAATAATTTTCATGTTGATAAAGTTACTTCACAGTCATAGCAAACCTTGTATGACTAGTTCCATTGAACTGTGGTAGCAATATTGTGATGGTATTTCATGTTTCTGAATAAATCCTCTACCAGTACTGCTGCCTTTTAAAATGTCATAATAGGTGTTAAATGCATGATCTATAGATCAGACTTATGAGCATTAGTTCTAATTAGACTTGTGACTTTGGACAAGTTATTGAAACATTCTGTCATTTGTAAAATGAGAAGTATAATAAGATTTATAAAATTAATTAATGTCTTTGAAGCATTTGGAACAGTACTTGGCAGAAAATGTGCCTAATAAATATACCTATTATTTTTCTACATAAGCTATAAATATTTATACCTAAAAGTAATTATGCTGTAAGTTTTCTTGCAAGCATTATATATGTAATATATATAACTTATATATGATATATAAGATATATGTGTGTATGTACATATATATGTGTATATCTATCTATCTATCTATCTATCTATATATATATACATATATATACACCTTTAAGCCTGCCTGAACCATTGAGCCTGCTTCCTAAGTATAATATTACATAAGTTTTCCTATGCTACCAATGTTATTACTCTTGGTATAACTACTATTATTATCATTATTATTATTATTATTATCATTTAAATTTAACAAAGTCACTGATACAAATTATATTATGGAATTAAAAGGCATATTTTCTCACTAAAAATTATATAATCAGTGTATTATTTTAAGTTTATCACTTTATGAAATTAATTGCCTTAAAAAAGAAGTAGAAAAAAAGCAAATAAATGAATAAAAAGAAATGGAAATTGTAGGAACATTATAAAATCTCTAAAACTATGAAAAAATAAGTGTAAGCTATACGAAGTTAAAAGAATAAAAACACTCTCTACAAATCACCTAATACATACATTTCTTTATTTTCAAATATTTTATTGATTAAAATGTTTTTACTCTGACATTTTATATTGGGGTTTGTGGAAAAATTCAGACTTGTATTAATTAAAAAGCTCTATGACTGAGAGTCAAAAGCATTTCTTTTTAATGTGTTAAAAGATATTATTATTATTAAATAAATCAATGCAAATTTCTCTAAAGTAAAAACATGTTATTGGCAAGCAACAGGTTTATATCAGAGATTAACTTGTTTTTATAGAATTCCCTGCAGTATTTTACTTAGGAAAATTATCTTAATATTTGTAAAACACTTCCAGGGTGAATACTTTTCATAGGAAATCCAAAGAAAGCAACAGCATTTCTAATGTTAGCATAATAGGAATTTCAAAGGTAAATTTCAAATCAAGAGGTTCAAATACATCTCAAATTCTATGTCACAAACCATGAAAATCAAGGGCAATAATACTCCCTTTATATAAACTCAGCACATCAAAAGTAATTTTGCGGGATGTTATTCATTTCATATTGGCTATCTTCATAGTGTCATATGAGGGATAATGGCTAGGGTGAACACATTCAGTCACTTTGAGGAGATCCTTCACAAGTGAATTTACCTCATCAATAAATTTGTTTTTCATACATGTACAAAATATACTCTCCTTAGTTTTCGGTACAGTATTCATGGTACAATCTATGCCCATTGAAATCTACCATTGAGTTGAAGATTTAAAAGCCACAGATATTTGATAAATTAATCTTAAATCTTAATGATAATGCTAGACAATTGCTGATGTTTCCTATTTTAGGTGGAAAAGAATATGATTCAACAGAAGTTTAGAGAAGAGAATACAAACAAATAAACAAAAAAAAACAATCAGCTTAGGGTAGCTTCACTTACTGCTATGTGTGAAATGTGTATTATATATGAAACTACAAATATAACCATACATGCAAATAGTAGTTGGCTCCCCATATCTGTGAATTCCACTTCCACAGTTTCAATCAACTAGAGATAGAAAATAATCCCATCTCTACTAAATGTGCAGAGATTTTTTTTCTTGGTATTGTTCCCTAAACAATGCAGTGTAATGACTATTTGCAAAACATTTACATTGTATAAGATATTATAATTAATCTAGAAATGATTTAAAGTACACAGAAAGAAGGGAATAGTTTATATGCAAATGTGTGAAATGCCAGTTTATATAAGGGACTTGAGCATCTGTGAATTTTTGTGTCAACTGGAGTTTACAAGGGATGACTCTCTGTGTGTGTGTGTGTGTGTGTGTGTGTGTGTGTGTGTGGGAGAGAGAGAGAGAGAGAGAGAGAGAGAGAGAGAGACAGAGAGAGAGAGACAGAGAGACAGTGAGACAGAGAGGGCGGGGAAGGAGGGAGGGAGAGAGGGGAGACTTTTTTTTCACTGCTTCCTGTGCCACCAGTTTTTGTGACTTCAGTGTGCAAGCTCCTTTACTTCCTTTCAGTTTATAGAATTCCCTGCAGTATTTTACTTAGGAAAATTATCTTAGTATTTGTAATTTTTTGATTACCAAATGTAACCAGGCACTTGTTAAATGCATATGGGTCCTGAAGTGAGGAGGAAAGATCAGAGCTACAATTACAGCAATTTACTTAATAAAATTATAGACGGATATTTATGATGGAAGGAACAAGCAAGGGAGAAAGAAAAAACCTTTAGATTCTCTAACTTGTCAATATACATACATATTTTAATTCTTGTGAGAAAAATGGTGTCTGTCTTCCCAAATTGCTACCTAAGTCACCTTGTTAACTCACACTCAGCCATTGCTTTCAATTGTACAAATGTTCTACAGGCAAGTAAAAATGAATTGTATCTCCAAATAGGTCAACATTCTTCCTTTTTCATTTAGTTGTTTCTTTTTCCATCTTCTTGTGAAACATCTGAGCTGGATTTAGTCCTTGATGTGCCCCAAGACCTGCACTAACATCTCCAACATGCAGTTTTCCATGATGAATATAATTGGCTTTGTCATGAAAAAAAGAAAAAAAAAAGAATTGTCCAAAACAGATGGCTCCTCCTTAATATCTGGTTTGGGTTTCATTAAATAATTAATAAACTATGTTTTTTTGCTCTCTTTCATTTTATATTTATATTTTGAATGACTGCTCTTTGTCTGATCGAAACTGCTAGAGGCAATCAGATGCAGTCTGACTCAGATCTTTAATTGAAAGTGAGTATAGCTTTGGGCAACTAAAGTACCTCTCTTTTTTCTGTAACCTTATTTATAAAATATAGAAAATAATTCTCATCTACTCCATTAGAAAAGTGGTTGAATTAATCCCTATAAATAAATTTAAGCATTGTGCATATTTTATTCAGCCCTTTCAAGTTCACATCAAGACCATATTATGTATGCAATTCACAAACTATGAGTCATGCTATCTTTCATTTCCTCTCTGCTTTCAACAGCGGGTGTGATATTTCTTCAAGGTGCTACTTGAAAATATGAGGACAGAGTATTTTAGCCAAATACCTGTGGAGAAGGTGACAATGTCTCCTGTCTTCAGTATGATGGCAACAAGCTTGTTATCCATCTCAATTTCTCAGGACAAGTTTATCTACTTAATTCACTGTGGCATGAAGGAGGAATGAAGATTATATGTTGTAGATGAGCTTACAATATGCAGTATCCTTTGTACCTCATTAGACCTGTGCATTTAAAAAGGTTGGGGGAAGGTAGAAAGCAAAGGAAACAAAACAAAACAAAACCAAACCGTTTTATTATGAAGATAGCCCATTTGAGAATTTTGTTTTCGAATCAATCACTGCAAATTAACATTTTTAAAAGGGCCTTAAGAACCAATCTTAAGCTAGAAAAACCTGGTACAGTAATAGTCTCTTGCTATTTTTAAACAAAATTTCATATAACTTTGTAAATATTATAATTAGAACTGTTTCCTAATTCTGTGCTAACTAGGACCTTTGTTGAGAGTTAAAGTATAATAGTCCCTAAAATATGGAGGAGCAGAACTAGCAGAATATTTTGAGTTGTACTACTACTTTAAATTGGAGACAAAGTTTATTCATCACTTAGAGAAATGAATACTTGCCATTTTAGATGTCACATCTAAAAGCACCAAGAATCATCTTAGCAGTTGATTAATTATTTTCAAAAGTAATGCATGTACCTATATTCACCAAAATCTATTGGAAGAACTATACATCCATTCTAATAAAATGAAATTTATGCATGTTTCATCTAAAATCAACTTCCTAGTATTTTAGGTTTCATAGTATTCTGAACTATATTTAATAAAATGTATTTTTAGGTTTTCTATCCATTGCAGATATTCACATCATTTTACTATGTTACAATTTATGTGCTATAGGTTGCTGGATGCTGCTGTCTTCACTCGTTTTTCCAGGGCTCCACTGACAGAGTAGATCTACCTCCAGAGATGTCTAAGGTTTCTTCTAGACACATGAAAAGTAGGTACTTCAGGATAGTTTATGTTTCTGTGATAACTAAACAAACCAAAGTGTTTTAATTCCTTTCTGTTCTTCAATCACTGGCTTTCATATCTTAATTTGATTTTTGTACCTTCAAATTTATTTTTTAAATGAATTTGGAATCATTTTTCATAGTTTCAATTAACTCTAGACTATAATATAAATGAAATTTTGAGCATAAAACTATAGGCGTTGAGGAGCTGGCTACACTCAAAGTTCTCTGTAAAAGCTTTGGACCTGGAATCTGACAAATCAGTGAGATTGCAGTGCCACTAATTTCAAGCTATGAGATCCTGCAGATGTTATATAATTTCACTTATACTCAACTTTCTAACTGTAGCATGGGAAATGATAATATCATCTATTTCAAATGAGTCTTGTGAGAACAAATGAGGTAGCTGTCTGTGTGCTCGGCATAAAATATCTGCTGAATAAATAGTGACTATATTATCAGTATGTTTGATTTGTTTTCAAAGATTATGTTACTAAAGCCAATTAGTGACTTTTCTACTTTAGTTTCTTTTTCTTTTTCCAACTAGTATTGAACAATTCAAAAATGTAAATGAAAATTCTTGCATCATTAATGGTTTAGATTCTGAGAGACAAAGGAATAACCTTTCCCATCTCAGTGTGCTATACAATGTCCTTCCCCACATGTATGTCTAGATGTCAATCAAATGGTGTCAATCTAAATATTAGAAACATGTAAACAGTAAAAGACAATGTAATATTTTGATGAACAACTCGAATTTCCATGAGTCACTTACTATATAATTCTATATTGGTTCATCATTGAAAAATATTTCTAGCACTCTTCACTATTCCCATTAAGTGGAGTAGTGAATTGGTGATGTTATCATTATATTTGTCAGCAGTTGAAAAAGAATTGCTAATCTACTTCTGGCCTTTATTTTGAACCCAAATTAACTAAATTAGCATTGTCAAAGCATTCTAGCATTAGATGTCAATAAATTGGTTGTCTGCCCCAGTTGCCTAATTTGTGTAACTGATTTTGTACATAAACAAAAGTATTGCTAGCATCAAAGCAGCGTAGTAGACAAATTAGCTCCTTTAGTTTCAGGGGACAGGTTTATTATATATAGGTTTCTATTACAATATTTATAAGTTAAATAGGCCTCACAAATATGTACTGATGAAGTTCTAAGACCATATTACTCTTGAAGTAAGACTGAGGTATCAAATTGTCTAAAATATATCTTCCCTTTCTTGGGTGACAAATTACATATTTTTAACACAGACTCTTATTTTTTAGCTCTGAGAAAATACATTAGCTTTCCTGGATGGCTTTAAAATAGAGTGAAGCAAATGTGTCTTAATTTATCACCACTTATAAATGTATATTTGATCACAACTTTATTTCATAGTAAATGAAATTAAATATAAAAATATTGTAATGTACATTTTAAAACTGAAATTCACAGATGTATATAGTATGTTTTTCTTTATGTATATAGTATGTTAGTCTTTATATTTTCAACAATATCTTCATATGGAAAATATATATATATATATATATATATATATATATATATATATATATATATATTGATCCTTATTATTAGCAACATGAGATTTATTTCTCATAAGAAAATATACAGTGTTAACTTGGTAGGGATGCCATAACAAAGTAGTACAAACTGAATAGATGAAGCAACAGAAATGTGTTTCTCACAAGAACAGAGGCTAGAATTCTAAGGTCATGTCAACATATTTGGTGTTTTCTGAAGCCTCTCTTCTTGACTTGTTGGTAGCTGACTTCTTACTATGTTCTCACATGGCTCTTCCTTTATTGGTGCCTGGTGCTCTCTGTGTGTCTGCATTCTTATGAGAACACTGATTCAATTAGATTTGGGTCCACATTAAAGTCTTATTTTAATCCAACAATTCCTTAAATGCCTGATCTCCAAAAAGAGTCTTCATTAATTTTGTGTTGCTATGACAAAATACTTAAGACTAAGTAATTCATAATGAAGATAAATTTATCTTACAATATTGGAGACTAGGAAGTTAGAGACAAGTCACTTGTGTGTTCTGTTGTCTGATGGCACCTTGATTCTGCATCTTGTAGAAGAGAAGAAAGCTGTGTATTCACATGGAGGAAATTCTGAGAGCAAAAGGGATGAACTGCCCCCACCAAGGACTTTTTTCAGAGCGCTTAATTCCATTACTGAGGTATAAGTCTCCATGGCCTTACCACCTCTTAAAAAATCTCCACCTCCTAATGGACATTTGGCAACACCTAAGCTTTAGAGGCAACACATTCAAACGCTAGCATAGTAACTCCTTGAAGTATGAGGGTTAGGGGTTGCAAATATGAATTCTGAGGAACCCAATTTAATCAATGACAGGGACCAATTAAAATATTTCTCTAATTCCACATTGAAAACATACGGGTAAACTTGATACTAGATGCATTGTTAAAAACAACAGCAGAATTCTTGTGGAATAGCTTAATAAATGGATTAACATTGCTTTCAATAGTTCATTTATATTATTCTAAACATGTAGTACATTTATAAGATTCTATTAGAACTTAAACTAATGTTCATTTCTTTCTCTCATTACATTTACATGAGATGAATGCCACTAGTTTCAAAATTATGACTGAGGTATTTATAAAACACTAAACTCCTACATAAATGATTCACTCCTCACATAGGTAGTATTATGTCTTCTGTTCCCATTGATAACATCAAAATAATTTACCATGATTAATGTTATTGATGAGCAAACAGAGCAATAGTGATTTCTCATGTATTATAAAGTGTTGCTATCATTTCAAAATATTATTAAAATCTAGTATACTTACTTTTCCATCATTTGAGTGAAATTAAAAATGATTTTAAAGAATACACATAAACTAAATGGCTTATCATTCCTGTATAATATATATACACATACAATACTATACTACATAGACATATATATATATACATATATATATATACATATACATATATACACATAGGTATATACATATATATACATATATATATGTATAAACACATATATATTCTTAGAGGAGTCATTAAGTAAATACTAGTTATTCTTTAAAACAGCACAGGAAAATTATCAAGTTATTTACTTTGCAGTTTGGCATATAGACTACTCTTTCTTCCAAAGTTCTGGTTTATAACTGAAAGGAAAACCTTGGTGGCAGATATAATTTTTTCAATTTTTATTTTTTGGCAGATATGTTTGATAATTCATTTTCTCCCTAAATTTATACAACTAATGCATTTTGCAAAGTGTATTGCATAACCTAATTAGTAAATTTATCTTCTGCAACATATGCAGTATGAAGCCTGATACTATTTTATGTGTATACTATCATAAAAATATGTAAATGCTTTGTATATAATAAGAAATATGCTTCCTACTGTTGGAGAAAATGCTACAAGTAATGAAAGATGGAAAGCTGGATTAATCCCTGTGATACTGAATTAGAATCTAAAGTATCTGCATGAAGTCATTAAATGTATCTCTGGCTTTATAATCTCTATCTATCTATCTGTCTATAGATAGACATATCTATCTATCTAAGGTATAAATAGAAGTAACTGTTTATAGAGCCTTGTAGTGAAAACACAATATAAAATAGAAGTAATTTGTAGTGCTAAAAATACAAAAGTGTTCAAAAAAAATAAAGGAATCATCTTAAAAGGACAGTATCACAGGGATGAGTCTAGCTTCCCCTTTTTCATTACTTGTAGCATTTTCTCCAACAGTAAGAATTGCATTTCTTATTATCTACAAGATTCAGTCAGACATTAAAATAGACACATAGACCAATGGTAGAGAATACAAAACACAGAGACAAACCTACATAAGTACAGTTATCTCGTGCTAGACAAAGGCTCCAAAAACATTCATTGGAGAAAAGATAGCCAATTCAACAAATGGAGCTAGAAAAATTGGAAATCCACATGTAACAAAATTAAATTAAACCCCTATCCTGCACAAAAATCAACCCAAAGTGGATCAAAGATGTAGGCAGTAGAACAGAGACCCTATGCCTAATAGAAGAAAACATAGGGTCAAATCTTTATCATGTTGGGCTTAGGATCTGACTTCCTTAACAAAACTTCTAAAACACACGAAGTAAAATCAAGAATCAATAAATGGGATGGATTCAAACTAAAAAGCTTCTTCTCAACAAAGAGAACGATCAATAATGT